TTTGTAGAATGCATCAAAGACACCTCTTGAGATTTTTGAAGTTAGAGGACCCACAATACCAGTATCTTTAGGGATGGTGAGGTCTATACTGGAGTTTTAGAAATGCATTTTTTAAAAAAGTTTATTTTGTATCATCAGAATTCTGTTTAAGAAACTCAAGAGACTGTCCTTGAAATTACTCAAGAGAAACTAGATGAAAAGAAAACAAATTGCTACTTTCCCCATATACATGGTGGTCAAATTTTGATAGTAGAACAAGTCTCCTCACTCATGTGTAAGCAGTCAAAAAAAATTTAGAAGATTGGTAACATGTTCTCCTCATACATGGAGTATGAGAAGAAATGACAACAGAAGCTTAATGAAGAAGCCTATAGTTTCTGAAATCATCATATCATCATCATCACTATTTTGATGATTTCAATCTGTCTCCCAGGCTGCAGTGCAGTGGCACTGCTCGTGGCAGCCTTGACCTTTTGGGCTTGGGTGATCCTTCCACCTCAGCATCCTGAGAAGTTGGGACTACAGGAACATGCCACCATGCCTGGCTAATTTTTTGGTTTTTTGAATAGACGAAGTTTCACTCCTGAGTTTCAGTTCAAGCAGATGACTGTGAGCCACCATGCCAGATGCCCAAATTTATGAATATTAAACTCATTTACCTCTTTGTTTCTATTTCTCTAGAGTTTTAATAGGAACCCAAAGATCTGTTTAAAGATTATTTTGGATACAACTAAGTTGAACAACTCAGTTAATTTCCTCCTTTTATTTCTTTTAAATTCAGAGTTGAAAAAATAGATGATGGAAATTTCAAAGTGATAAGAAAAATAATTTTGAGGATCTTTAAAAATGACACTTTGGTCTCAAATTTATTATAGACAATAAATTTACATATATTAATAATATATAACACTAAAATAAATCATCTATATGGCTTGGTTATATGACACGTGGAGGCTACTAGAATGCTAAAAGCATCAATAATAGCCTTAGGAAGGTTTAATTGTTGTATGAATACACTTTCTCTAATTACTAAATAAACAATTATTAAGCCAAGATATATGCACACACACATATACACACAATCTGATTTTCATAATAATGGTGGTTTAGGATTAGCCATTCAAATAAAAATATTTACCTACTTTACTTATAAAAACTAGAAATAATAACATTCTGGCATTGCATGGCATTTGTACCTCCCTGAAAATAAAAAACAAAAGTCTAAAAGTCTATATAGTTAATTAATTAAATATACTACCTATTTCATGAGCTAACAGTAAATCTGATTTCACAAATATCTTATAATGACTTCCCTTTTCATAGTCAAAAGTGATTTATACTACCATAAGGAAAAGAATGAAGGTATTCTTTGCTCTCAAAAGGAATTTTCCATCTATTCTTCAGAGTTCAATTTTTTTAAAAAGCCTGGTCAGTAATTCAAAACAGCCTGTGCAAAATACCATATTTATGAAACACTGCAACAGGACCTTTCAAATTGCAGCATGCTTTACAAGAACATGATCAGGAAATGATTCCTTCTGCCAAAAAAAAAGAAAAGAAAGAAAGAAAAGAAAAACCTCTGATGTCTGTAGGTTCTTCCTAAAATACATCTTAAAAAGGGGGTTTTTATACCTAAAATATAGGTCTGAATCATATTAGATAGAGTATTTATAAAACAAAAACCTTCTCTTCTTATAGACCATTGGGGTCAAGTAAGCACATGTGTATAACATTCATTGCCTAGATAATTCATTAGAACTGCACCATAATTCACTCTTCTACTGATACTCAATGACTATTGGTCCTCATTTGCTGTGATTTCACATTTTGTTGAACTGGTTTTTAGTAATACACGGTAAAAAAAAGAAAAACTAAAGGAAAGAGGGAATTAGAATATATCAAGGAGAAAAATGATTAGACAAAATCATTTCCTTATGGAAGATAAACTTCTATATGCAAAGGCCTTAGAAAACTAACAAAGTATAATCCCTTGGTTTCCCAGAAGTTCAAAATCATATTAACTGCTTTATCACAGAATGGCTGCTTTTTTCTCAATTTCAGAGTCTCAATTTTCTCTCTTTGTCCTACTAGCCTTTGTGTATATATGTCCTATAATACAAGCCATTTACTATTTTATTTTTTGTATTTTAAAGATGTGGGAGCCGGGCTCGGTGGCTCAGCCTGTAATCCTGCGCCTTTGGGAGGCTAAGGTGAGCGGATTGCCTGAGCCCACGGGTTTGAGACCCGCCTGGGCTGGCAAGACCTCATCTCTACAATAAATCAAAAAATTAGCCAGGCGTGTTAGCGTGTGCCTGTAATTCCGGCTGCTCCGAAGGCTGAGGTGGAAGGATCGCTGAAGCCCAGCAGGTCGAGGCTACGGTGGCCGGGAGCGGCCACTGCACTCCAGTCTGAGCGACAGAGTGAGACTCCAACTCAAAAAACAAAACAAAACAAAACAAAAAAACCACAAAGATGTGGGGTACAATTCAGGACTAAGTATACAAGTGGTCATCATACAGGTAAGGTTTGGGCCTCCCTTTGGTCCCCATTTTGCCTGGTTTAAGATCAAGGTCCCTTATTGATGTGACCTCCCCCTCCCACCCCAGCAGTATCCCACTACTGCCAATTCCTTTCTTATAGTATTATGGTATAAATGTTCAGGGTCTGCTTATGAATGAGAACATGTGGTACTCTGTTCTTTGTTTCTGTGATAGATCACTGAGTATGACAGACCCTAAATCCACGTTGCTGCAAAGTCCATATGTTTGTCCTTCTTTATGATTGTGTAATATTCCATTGTGTATATGTACCACATTTTTCTTAATCCAGTCCAGTTTCGATGGGCAGCACAGTTGGTTCCATGTTTTTGCTATTGTGAATAGTGCTGCAATAAACATGCATGTGCACGTATCTTTTTTGTGGAATGATTTGAGTTCCTCTGGTATACTCCCAGTAGGGGATTGCTGGGTCATATGGAAGGTCAGTGTCTAGTTCTTTTTTTTTTTTTTTTTTGAGTTGGAGTCTTACTCTGTCGCCCAGACTGGAGTGCAGTGGCCGCTCCCGGCCACCGCAGCCTTGACCTGCTGGGCTCCGGCCATCCTTCCGCCTCAGCCTTCCGAGTAGCCGGAATTACAGGCATGCGCTACCACGCCCGGCTGATTTTTTTGATTTATGGTAGAGATGAGGTCTCGCTGCCCAGGCGGGTCTCGAACCCACGGGCTCAGGCAATCCACTCACCTCAGCCTCCCGAAGGTGCGGGATTACAGGCTGAGCCACCGAGCCCGGCCAGTGTCTAGTTCTTTTAGATATCGCCACACTGTTTTCCAAAGAGGTTGCACTAGTTTGCATTCCCACCAGCTGTGTAGGTGTTCTTTTTTCTCCGCATCCTCGCCAGCATCTGTTGTTGTTTGTTTTATTAATGATGGTCATTCTTAGTGGGTTAGGTGATATCTCAGTGTGGTTTTGATTTGCATTTCTCTGATGATTAGTGAGGCTGAGCACTTGTTTATGTCTGTTGGCTGCCTATATATCTTCTTTTGAAAACTGTCTATTCATGTAAGACATCTTAAATAAATTTTTTTAGAAACAAATGGGCTCAATATACAATTTTAAGAAGAAAAGAACAAATTTATTTTCATTCAAGTTCCATACTTCCACGTAAATACCTCAGGAGAATAGAATACGATTTCTTTTCAGATGGTAGAAACTTGTTAAATACACAAAGATTTATGTCATGAGCTTTTGAATTACATTCTGCTTTATACCAACATTTTCTTGAAAAGCAATGTTTTTCAGAAATTCAATTACCTTATTTGTGGAGTTCTCTTATAACTGGGACGGACCCGAGCATATCTGGATGCCAGTAGACCCAAAGATTTCTCCAGCACTTCTGCTAGAATCTCCTGGGCTAACCTGGGAGGCATAACGGTCCAGAGATCATGATGAAGAGCCCAGCAGAAATAATGCCACATTTGGATCGAGAAGGAGCATCTTTCCCCCTGGCAAAACCACCACACATTAAACAATGAAATCATATCTTCCAAAATGTTAGTTTGCTTCCTATGAACCTAATTAGTTCAGGTTGAAGGGAAATAGCTGGAGAGTTTGATACACAAGATGACCAACAAAGATTTTTGACAAGATGTAAAACATCCTCATGTTTTATTTCAACTATGAGACTAGATATTTAGTGCAAATCCATACCACAAGCATTCAACCTAGAAAATCCTTGATTTACCTACTCCTAGTCTACAGTCTAAAATGTATTTTTACACAATTGGCTTTGCAGTTGCTGTATAAGTCATACTAGCTAGTTTAAGATAGTGGCTTGATTCTCCTAAAATTAAATTCTGTTTAAATTGTTTAAGTGGGCACATTTTTCTGAGTCTGTTAGTATTACTGAAGTAATTTTAAATGTTTCAGATTTCACATTTTAGTGAAATATTAGGAGTAAAAATAAACTTGCATACCATATTCTTATGAACATTCTTGAAACTAAGGGAGAGAGATAACTATTAAAGATTATTACAAGCCGGGCTTGGTGGCTCACCTGTAATCCCACGCTTTGGGAGGCTGAGGTGAGTGGAT